AGGGATCTACTCTGCTTTTTTTGTTCTAACACGTGTTAATAAGCTTCCATCTTTTTACGGGTGTGCGTGCATGCTTGTATCGGATTTCGTTAAAACACTTCCAGGTATGATGATGAAGTGAATGAGACGTGAAGAATGTCTGGGATGAATCATGAGGCGCTGCATGCATTCATTAGCGGAAAACTTTAGACACTTGATGCACTATTATGGTAAAACCGCAGGCAAGGGCGTGGCAATCTGGCATCTCGGGACAGGCGAAACAAAACGCTTTTCCCCGCTCCGAGGGCGACAGACACTGAGCAAACCGGTTTCTGGCCACTCTCCCTCGGCCTCTGCGCTGCCGGCACCCCCGCCTGCACCGTACCTGAGAAGCTCCATCGTCCAGGAGGCGGAAATGAGCGAGACGAGGCTGCCGGACCTCTGCCATTTCTAAGCATTATCGCGCAGCCGCTCTGCCCGTGTGCTCCGTCCACTTCCTCGGGAAGCGTTTGGTCAGTTTTGCGTCAGTCGTTCGGTCATTTCGATCAATAGGGCTTGTGATTCTGATGTTATTCATTGTTTTATGACGTTTTCATCTTCACTGCGACTGTTGGTATTTGAAATCGAAATTGTCCTGCGAATTCGCAAAGCTGGCACCTTCCTGCGCGCGGTCGACTGCGCACCCGATGCCACAGGCTGCGGTTCTCATTAGTCGTCACGGAAGTATTTTTCGCTAATAAACTACGGTAGCAGTTTATGTAACGCCTCGTAAATACCGAAAATGTTATTTACCATCGATGTGATTCCGTGTTGAACTTTCAAAATGAGAACTGAATACTGAAAATCAACGAGATAAACTCCCGAAAATAGGCGTGTTGCAAACTCGGCAGGTAGTAAGGACGCTGCCCACAGGTGTTCTCACAGGTATACTGAAAGTGTGTAAACAAAGTATTGAGAACCAAGGGTATCTCGTGCTATTCACAACGTTTTGGTGGTAAGGAGTAATTTTTGGTTGTCGATATGAGTTACCATTATCCGGAATTGTAAAGGAAAAAGTAATGGTTTAGAAAAGGGAGCATTACACCCATTAGCATTTGCAGAAATATCTGACGGACACGAGGGTCGTGTGATGGCCTCTGAGGGACAATGATGAAAAAAAGAGTGAACTGTATCACTGAACATTAGCCATCCCCTCATCCGTGATAGGAAACCCATATGTTGGCTCTCGCATCCGATTTCTTTCTTATTGTGTCCAAAACCGAGTGAAAAATAAGCCACAGTACCAAAACTTACCGATTCCTGTCGCTGAAACGCATAGGCCTACCTTCAAGACTTCACAGCAGAACAGGGAAGTCCGTGTGCAGTGAATTCGAGGCAGATCCGGCGATGCAAGTGTGTGAGATCCGGCGACAGAGAGGCAGCGTGAAAGTGTGAGGTGAACTGTAGCGAGTGTGATGAAGTCTCCAGTCGCCACACTCGGCTGAGCAAGAGAGCAGAAGACGGTCGCTGTGCGTATACGGGGATTCAAAAGGATATCTATTCTCCTTGGATGTATCGTGTGGTGTTGTAGTGCACATTTATTTCTGGCGTGATCTGCGAAATAAGGTGGAGCTTTATATTATTTTTTCTTTAGTAGGAAGTTGGGGACGAGAAGGAATATCGTGGGTTTGTGGCTTCGTGCAGAGAGGGTTTGGCTAGACAGGATGTGGTGGCTCGTCCCTTGTGTAATTTTTGTATTTTCCTATTTTGTTTTCAAATTCTTTTGTCTTCCTATAGTTGTCTAAGGCTTCTCCTCTTTTTGAAGCAAACGGATTTCATACAGTTTTGATTTTGAAAATAGTAGGATAAATGAGAATTAATTTGAATATACTTTTTGATCCGGAAGGGAGTAAAGGAAAGGAAGATTGCCTATCCTACACAGAAAAATAAGAAAATGATATAATGGTAGAATAATTGCACTGCGAGAACAGGCAGAGGTCGGTACACAAAGGTAGTTTGAAAGTAAAACCACCGTAGGCCAAACGAGGAAATGCTTCCCAAATGCTGACCTTCAGCATAGCCCGCACCACGTACTTGCCCTGTAACCGCTGCCTTACAGGTTATTTAAGGAAGAGATTTGATTGTTGATTGTTGACTGGGTTGTTGGATGCCAGTCACGTTCTGTTGTACATTGTGCCGCCCCTACAGCGCCCTCTGCGGGAAAATCGGAAATATGAAGTATGAATATTTAAAGACATGCCCCAGGCTATGAACCTTGTTTTCGGTCTCCGCTCGAATTTGAGAACGGACTGGCGCCCACCCGCCTACGCACGCAGAGGGTGGGGGAGGGAGAGAGAAAGAGGAGAGAGGGAAAGGGAGAGGGAAATAGATGGAGGGAGGGAGAGATGGAGAGAGGGGGAGATGGAGGGAGGGAGATGTGGAGGGAGGGAGAACGGACCCACCGCCTACGCACGCAGAGGGTGGGGGAGGGAGAGAGGAGGAGAGAGGGAAAGGAGAGGGAATAGATGGAGGGTGGGAGAGATGGAGGAGGGGGAGATGGAGAGAGGGAGAGGGAGAGATGGAGAGATGGAGGGAGGGAGAGATGGAGGAGAGAGGAGAGATGGAGGGAGGAGAGATGGGAGGGAGGGAGAGATGGAGGGAGGGAGGGAGAGGGAATAGATGGAGAGGGAGAGATGGAGAGGGGGAGAGATGGAGAGGGGGAGAGATGGAGAAGGGGGAGATGGAGGGAGGGAGGAGGAGAGAGATGGAGAGAGGGGGAGATGGAGAGATGTAGGGAGGGAGAGATGGAGGGAGGGAGAGATGGAGAGAGGGGGAGATGGAGGGAGGGAGAGAGCGAGAGAGAGAGAGAGAGAGAGGGGGGGAAAGAAGATTTTACCACGAAAGGAATGCAGCTGAAAGTAGCTCTTTGTAGTTACTCTAAACCAATACAGGCGAAATTTATGACACAGCGCTAAACGTATTTTGCCCTTCATATTGCGCGCCAAAAACAAACTTTCAGCAATAACAGTAGTAATTTAGAATAACCGAGGCGTTGGGAAATCAGAAGAATTAAGGGAAAAATCGCAAAGCAGAGTGAAGGTGGAAAGGAGTTATTATACTAGTAGGAAACGAAATTAAGCTGAAGTAAATAATCATTGGCAACGGGAGTTTATGGGTGGTTAGGTATGTGCTCTCTCTTTCTCTCTCTCTCTTCTCCTCTCTCTCTCTCTCTCTCTCTCTCTCTCTCTCTCTCTCTCTCTCTCTCTCTCTCTCTCTCTCTCTCTCTCTCTCTCTCTCTGTCTCTGCTCTCTCTCTCTCTCTCTCTCTCTCTCTCTCTCTCTCCTCTCTCTCTCTCTCTCTCTCTCTCTCTCTCTCTCTCAAACTGTTGCGTACAATGATTATGTATTCTTGTCACGATCCAAAAGAGATGTTTTTGAAAGCAAATCGTGTTCAAAAATGTACATTACTCGTCCCGAAATCAGTACTAAGATCACCTTTAAAGATCCCATAATGCAGAATAACTCGATCTGTTATCCGAGAGACACGAAAATACATCGCAATAGTCGACAAAAGGGAATATGTCCAAATTTATCCTGGGCGTGTCACATCTGTTGCAAGATTAGCCAAGGTGTTGCATTTCTGTTGCAGATCCATCTTGGGCTTGCATGTCGGTCTGTGCTTTCCGTGGCGCTGGCGACGGCGGGGTATATATATATATATATATATATATATATATATATATATATATATATATATATATATATATGTGTACATATGCGTAGGTACACACACACACACACACACACACACACACACACACACACACACACACATATATATATATATTATATTAGATATATAATTTATATGTATGTCTATATGCATACATACATATATATGCATTTATATATACATTTATATAGATATATGTTTGATACTTTGTATTAATCAGTTAATCAATTTATTTATTGACCTATATATATCCTTAGTTATTATTTATATATTTATTTGAAATAATGGAAATCCAACTTTTTTTATCGCATTGTATATTATTAATTGATTGTATTTTACTCTATTTCACCTCGTGTTAGAACTGATCTTAGGAATTTAGTGGACGCCCTTCTCTGGCACAGCGGAGCTTGGTGACAGTTCTCCGTAATTATTATTAATCAAAACAACCCCAGCAGCCCAAATACCATCACAATGGAAGTGGAGCAGCGTAATGAGTGACGGTGCAATTAGCAGACGATGACGTAATTAGCGGATCCCCCTTTTACGTCATTCCAACACGGATGTTTTTCGCGATTTCAAGGGATGACTAATTCATTCCGACGGACTGTCCGGGAGTCGAGAATTGGCGTTATAGAGCAGGTGTTTGAGCAAACGCGCAGATACGTTATGTCGCTTTATTTATAGTTATAAGTGTACAGAGGTTAAAGTTTATATGTGTATAGATGTTAATGTTTGTTTATATATAGAGAGAGGTGAAAGTTTAAATATGTTTAGAGGTTAAAGTTTATATGTGTTTAGATGTTAATGTGTACATGTATAGATGTTTATAGATGATTAGGGGTTAAAGTTTATATGTGTATAGATGTTAATGTTTGTTTATATATAGGGAGAGGTGAAAGTTTAAATATGTTTAGAGGTTAAAGTTTATATATGTTTAGAGGTTAATGTCTGTACATATATAGATGTGAAAGTTTATAGATGATTAGGGGTTAAAGTTTATATATGTATGGAAGTTAAAGTTTTTATATATATATATGAATATATATATATATAATATATATATATATATATATATATATTATATATTAGAGAGAGAGAGGAGAGAGAGAGAGAGAGAGGAGAGACAGACAGACAGACAGACAGACCAGACAGACAGACAGACAGACAGACAGACAGACAGACAGACAGACAGACAGACAGAGACAGACAGAGACAGAGACAGAGACAGAGATAACACACACACACACAACATATATAAAGGCAAAGTTGATATATGTATATACGCGATGGTCAGGCAATATAATGCTTTTGGGGTTATTTGGGTGCGCAGTTGAGCCGCGTATGCAGGCAAGGTCAGCCTCTCGCGTGGACGAACACTTCAGTGGTCTGCCATTCTGGGATTTGCCATCCGTGACGTCATTGGCAACGGGTCCTTTGAAAGCTGCCGGCGGTGGCTTCGGTTGGGCGACGCTTCGGCAAAATGAATCACGGCACTTGAGGTTTATTGAGGTTGATGATCGTGTTGACAACGGCGGGGTTCTACCTCTCGGTCTCTCGCTCTCGCTCTTTCCCTCTCTCGTGCCTTGTATCTTCCCTCCCTGTGTCTGTCTCGCTTTCTCTCTCTACTTCTCCTTGTTCTGTTCTTTTTTTTCTGTCTTTCTTCTCTCTCTCTCTCTCCCTTCTCCCTCTCTCTCCCTCCCTTTCTCCCTCTTCCATCCCACCTCTCTCCTCTCCCCTCCCTCTCCTCTCCCCCTCCCTCCCTCTCTCCCTCCCCCTCTCCCCCCTCCCCCCTACCTTCCCTCCCTCCCTCTCCCTTCTCTCTCCCTCCTCTTCCCTCCTCCCTTTCTCAAAGCGTCAAACAGCCTCAGGCGTCGATGCTCCCCGTCGCCAGAGCCCCTCACAGTTATTACTCTCTCTCTCTCTCTCTCTCTCTCTCTCTCTCTCTCTCTCTCTCTCCTCTCTCTCTCTCTCTCTCTCTCTCTCTCTCTCTCTCTCTCTCTCTCTCTCTCTCTCTCTCTCTCATTCTCGCTGAAAGGCGCCTGATGAAGAATGGTAATTGGGGTGGAAACAGCTGTAGCGGTGGTGACGCATGTGATAATCTGTTTGACTTCTCTCACTTTATCGTTTTGCTCAAGTTAAGATGAACGACGAGAGTGAAAAAAGATGAGAATAAGAGGAACGCCGAGAGTGAAAAAAATGAGAATAAGAGGAACGCCGAGAGTGTGAGAATGATGAAAAAGATTAAGAGGAAACGCCGAGAGTGAAAAAAAAGATGAGAATAAG